TCAGAAGTGAGCAGATTATTCCAGGTGAGGACATACCATTGATTTATGGTCCCAGACAAAAGTGACATTAAAATGGAGTGAAGGTGGAGAGTACTTATCTGTAATTTAGGATCAAATACATTATGGGGGTGTTGTAATTATCTCAAACTCAGAGATGTGAAACCCAAGACATGCACAGTTAATGTTAAACTTAAAAAATATCCAAACATGATAAGATATGGAGATGCATAGTGAAGACATCTAGCCAATCTTGACTGTCCCTACTACAGACTCTTCCAGCTTCTCATATACTTAAAGCTCACTGCAACCCTCTGATACGTTGAAATATATATATTTTTATTTAATAGTCATTTCCCCCAATTATCCTTTAGAATTTAAGTTTCTCCTTCAGCAGACATTTTAATTCTGCCCTGCAGAGGCGCCATGGAAATACCACGTGATTATGATTAAACAGGGGAGCCGACAGACTTGCCAGGAACCTGGGGAAGTTGGTGGGGGGAGGTAGGGACTGTTCTGTGCTCCTGGAAGGGGAGGGGCCATGGTTGGAAGGGTCGGAGCTAGAGCAACCATTCCTCAGCATCACCCAAAATGCACTGCACACCCCCCTCTCTCAAGCTCTCATAGCTGCCTGGTACACGTGGCACAGCACTCAAGTGGCAATTTAAAGAGCCCGGGGTTCTAGCCACCACTGCTGCCCTTTTGAATTGCCAGGTCCCAGGGCAATTGCCCTTTTTGTCCCCTCCTCCCTCATCAGTGGGCCTGTGGTTAAGGCAGTTAGTATTTGTGGAGTCAGATTAGAACAAACTTGATTTTTTTGAAATCATATTTGGGTTTAGTTTTGTTTTCCAGGTTTTTCCCTTTCATGGAGTCACTATAGTTGTTCTTTCTAATTTTGTACATATTTCTTATGTAAACACTAAATAAAACACCCAAAGAGAATGCTGCCATGTAATATTTCTAACAATTGTAAGATGTGACATACCAACCATGTACCGCTTTAAACGTATTATCTATTATAGCCAGGTTCACTAGTGTGTTCTGGCTGCTTTACCCCACTTTGGATCAGCAAACAGCAACCAAAAAATACAGGCTGTGTGGGTTTACAGCTGTTTTGTTATACTAGCAATGCCAAACAGACAGCATGAACACTGTAGTTTCCCCTTCCTTCTTGTCCTCCAAAATCCCCTTGTCTCTTGCATTCTCCACATGCCCTGTGTGCACACACCCACTACAACAGTTCCACTACCACTGGCACTTCCCTGCTTTTCCCTGTGTGCACGTAGCCCTGAGTGCATGCGTGCACATATACAATTTTCCACTTCCCTCCTGTACATCCCCCACACTTCTCTTGTCACAGATCCACAGGATTTGTCCTGTGCCCCAGCTTTTAAACAGTCTCTTGGAGGAATCTCTTCAATATGCTGGAATCTAAAGTGGCCCCATTCTCCTTAAAGGTAGGCTATGAGACCTCAGCACCACTGAGGCACCTCTGTGCTTCAGCATTAGTGTTTCACACCATGAGTTCTGTTCTGCAAATGCTGAATCCAACTGAGACAGACTCTTGTTCAGAGACTTGCACTGCAGCAAGTATTTGCAATGACGTCAGGCAGCCTTTTCAAAACAAAGTAGGGTATATTAACCAACTGGAATACAGTAACTGGAAGTAGACGGTTGGCATAGAGAAGCAAAGGTGAAGACAGTTCCAATTGGCCAATAACTAGCGTTATTTTGAAATAACTTAGTCCATGTCTACACAGCAGGCAGTTATTTCAAAATAATGTTGAAATACTGTCAAGCTGGAGGACTTCTGACTCCGACTCCTGTAACCCTCATTGTATGAGGAGTAAAGGAAGTCAGAGGAGGAGTGTTCCATTTCAAAATAAGTGCTGTGTAGATGCTCCCAATTTTGAAATAAGCTATTTTGAAATAAGCTAGGCAATTGACGTAGCTCCATTTGCATAGCTTATTTTGAGTTAAGCTCTGCTGTGTAGATACACCCTTTGTTAGCCGCAGGTGAATACTCTTGTGTCTCTCCCAAAAGCTAGCTCTTATCCCAGCACCCTTTTATCTCTTGGTCCATTGTCTTCCTCCTGCAGATTGATGCTGAATTCACATTTCAGCTGTCAGCTTCCCATGTGCTAGTTGTTCAGGTGTTGGGGTTCTCTTTGTCTTTCTGGATCCTCCACTGAGATGGGTCGATTTCAACCAATCCCCTCCTATTTAGCTTTAGTGCAATGGGTGGCCTTTGAAAGGTATTTAGGATTGAGGGCCAATTTGTGGTACTGTTTTCATAACTGAAAGTTTATCTGCCACAAAGACTTGTGCTCTTCTTCTCCCATTGTTCTTGGTGCGATAGAAGCCACAGCAGCCCTTAGGAAGATGATGGCCTCCTACCCTGTGTTGTGGCAGAAACACTCAGTCCCATTGACAATGAGAGAGAGTCTTATCAAAATGGTTCCTGTAGCTTTAGTGTCATAGAACAATGGCAGTTGGGGGCCTGTTTTGAAAGGGGGAAGTTCTTTGTGGAGTTTGCTATATTGTATCCTTTAGCCTCTGCAAGAGGAGTTATTTTCCATCATGAAGACTAACTGGGTGAAAAGATCATTAATTCTCAAAGAGAAACATTCAAATGTAACATGCACACAAGATTTAGTGAGTTTTAAAATGCAGTTAAAGTCTAAGCAATCTATGTTGTTGAGAATATTGGAAACCAAATAAGTTCTGACATTGGAGACTACATGTCTTAAAGAAACCATAATGTAATGCCTAAAATAAGAGACTGACTTATAAGTTGTCAGTACTGTCATTCTGTATTGTAATTAGCAGGAAGATACATGAATTTTTCATACATAACAAAGAGTTTGAATCCCTTCTCTAAGTGCAAAACTCAGCTCTGCCCATACAATGTATGGTATCATTGCTGCTGCCTCCAGAAGAATATCCCTTTTTTAGAATATCCCTGTGTAGACACTTATTTCGAAATGGGGGGCCTCCAGCTTTCCCAGGGTGCCCTGGTGGCCTCAACCAAGAACACTCCTCTCCCTCCCCCCTCCCTGAAGCCCATAAAGGGGTTGACTCTGGCCACAGTGCCTATGCCAGCTCCAAGCCTGCCATCCCAGAGCCAGCAGTCACTGCTCCTGACCCATTGGCCTCAAAACATGAGCCAGCAAGCCACTAGCAGCTAGCCCTCCACCGCTTCCCAGGAGCAGTCTGCCAGCTCCCAGGAGCCTGCTAGGGCCCGGAGAAGGTGTGTGCCTTCCTGGTCCATGGTGGAGATCATGGACTTTATTCAGGTTTGTGGGGGTGATGCCCCCAATGTCCACGATCTCCATACTAGATGGAGGAACATGGCTGTCTATGGCAGGATAGCTGCCAGCCTGGCCACCAAAGGCCATATGCGAACCCAGGAGCAGGTTTGCATGAAAATGAAGTTGGTATGGTGAGACCCCCAACCCTGAGCCCTGAGCTTCCCTTCCCCTGGCTTCCCCCTTCCAACTCCCTCCTCCCAGGTTTCCTTCTCCCCTCTTCCACCCTCTCTCTTCCCCTCTCCCACCTCCTTTCCCCATTCTCACCAGAGTTTCATCTCCCCCCCCCCAGTTTTGTTAAAGGGAGTTTGTGTTCATGAAAATACGTGTCTTTTATTTAACATCAGGAAGGGGAGTTAGGGAGGGGTAAGTGGAAGGACATGAGGGAGGAATGAGGCACAAGCCCCCAGAGGGGCAGACCAGGGAGACTCTCAGTGCTCCTCAGAGTGGAAGCTCTCCCGCAGGGCCTCCTGGATACTGACAGCCCCCCGATGGCCCTCCGGGATGGCAGCCTGCAGAAAGTGTAGTCAGGCTCGCAGCAATGTGTCCAAGAGAAGCACCAGAGTGTGCAGGGGCAGCACTGGCTCCATCTTGCAGAGTGCTGTGGTGTCCCGTGTGAGGGCAACCAGAGCATGAGCATGCAGAGACAAAATTCTTTGCTGTCCCTCATCGAGGGGAGGTCCCTTTAAGCACAGGCCTCCGATAGCCTCAGGCAGCAGCCACACAAAGTAACTCCTGACCTGATGCCCTGCTGGACCTGGTTCCGGCCGGCCTTAAATGCTATTCAGCGTCCACTAAGTGTGAATGCACTATTTCAAAATAGCAAAAAGCTATTTTGAAATGCATTTTGCGTGTAGACGCGTTATTTTGAAATAACACTGTAGTGTAGACATACCTTATGTGTCCATCCATCCATCTGTCTGTGAATCTGTTTGTTCAAAAACTCCTCCTAAACAATAAGAGCTAGGAACACTCTTAAAAGCAAGGTAAGGGTTTGATTGTGCCAGGACAATGGGATATGCCTGGAATTCAATTGCTTTTCTTAAAATAGAAAGGGAGGGGGATGGTAAGAGGAACAGTTATACTGTAAAAAGAAGGATTGCAGGGGGTTGCAGGGGCCAGAGATGAATATTGGAACAGCTATAATACCATTGGGCCAGCAGGGGGCAGAGGTGGAGAAAGGGACAGCTATCTACTATATAATATTTCAGAGTGTGTGTCTTTTTGCTTGTGTCTGTCCCCCAGCTGGGGGACATGCACCCCTCCCCCAGCCGTGCCCGCTGCAGTTGCCATGGACAGGTGCTTCTCACCAGGCCCCAAACTGCTTCAGTGAGAGAGGGCTGTGGTTGTCCTCTCTATCTCTGGAGGAGCCAGCATACTGAACTCCTCATCCACAGCCCTACCCCAGAACAATGACTTAAAGAAGAAAAACAAAACTTATTTGAGTTAAGGATCTGAGCAATGCCAGGTAAATCTTCTACAGTATACATAAAATCTGGCTGCTTATTTTGCTGCCTAAGTAAATGCTGAGCTCTGCTGCAAGTCAAGCCCTTTCTGATGTGAGGGCAGCATCTGGGCTCAGTTAAATGCAGGTGCCTGAGTCTGGAGTTTTACAGTTATTTTTGCTTTTCCCAAAAGAACTTCCATCCTCTTGAGTTTATCATTCCTCTTCCTTTTATTTTTTTTCTTTCGTAGCACAATCTACTCCCTTGAGGACATCTTGCAACAGATTCTTCATCTTAAAGGCCTTCCAATTATTTTGAGGTCTGTACACTGTTTTTTCTTACTGACGCTAAATTCTTGAACTGGATTATCCACGTGTTACTGTTTGCTGCAAGTTCAGACTTCTAGCTTAAAATTATCCATTTTTTGGTTGCTAATAATGCAATGGCATCAAATTTGTCTTGGCATATTTGTTACTATATTTGTTGTTAAATGTAGAATGTCAAACACAGTACTTATTAGCAAGGGTGCTTCTAATGTCTGACAAAACATTATCATCTTCTTCCAATGCAGAGTAACTTCAGAACAGGAACATGGCTTTTTACTCATGTAGTTTGTCATAGTAAGGTGGGGGGTTTTTTCATAAAAAGAGGCATTGTTTGAATGGCATAATTTGTACAATGTCATATGTCATCGGGAATATAATGTAGCAAAATCTCATTTCTTCTGACTGCATGTGTCCTTGCCAGAGGTCTCCTTGCCACTCAAACTGAGATCAGGAGACCACTTATTTCTATACTTTTTCTAATGGGTCCGTTTCATTCATCCCATTAGACATATAAATATCCACAGTGAGACTCAGCAGAGCAAGAGATTTTGCACATTATTGCTTCAGTCCTTTTTGAATTGCAGCTCTTTGTTACTCGCATGTACAATGTTTGACTTGTAGTTCATTTTTTTTCTTGACATTTATTAGGTCATCCAGTCCTTCTGCATGTAGCCACGTGAGGGCAGCTCTAGGACCAGTTTATGTGCTTTTCTCTTAAAGCTGCACCCTAGCCTGAATTCATGAAAGTTATCAGATAATGATGGTGCTAAGCTGTTTTTATGCCCACTCTCACACACACGACTCTACCAAAGAGACATCCTGGGTCAGACAGACTTTAATTCAGGCTGCTAATGTCATCTTATCATCGTCAATCCACAGGACATAGAGCAGCAGCTCTACTATTAAGTGGTATCTGTACAAACTTGGGAGGGCTAATCCTCACCCTGTCTGGGTAATTACAACGCCTGCATTTTAATCCGGCGATTGTGTGTGGCCCATATGAAGGGCAGAGCGGCTCCACTGAATTGACAAAAGCAGCTTGTGGGGATTTTGATGGGGCTGCTGTGGCAAAGATGATTATACTTTGGTAATGTTACTGTTTTGATTACCCATCCACCCTGCCTTCTAGTCCTTTTTGGCATGCATTTCAGCGTCTTATCATAACGTAAATTCAAACTGGTTTGAAGGGAATTAGCAAGCCATGTATCAAGATATTTTGTCTGACTGGCGACCTTTTCTTTGGGGCTCTCCTGTGATTTGGGCAGTGGGTTTTTGCTGAGACACACAGCAAGAGCTCATTTTTATGGTGACTTTCTGTCAACCCCCCCGAGTCCTTTAAACTTCCTGAGGCTGGAACACGTTTGCCAAAGCTCTTCCCAAGGCCTCACTGTATAAGCCAATGGTTTGCCCTAGTGTAACAAGGTTTTGTCCAGTACAAGTCCTCTTTGTTTACCTTTAATCAGCACATACTGCCTGAACCTTCCGCATGTGGTTTGATAACCAAGGCAAACAACAGGCGTGTAAGCAACCTATCTCCCAGCCATGTGCCTGCTGAAACTCTGCCCATAGATTCCAGCTGCTCCTGGTAACGAGTGTAGTCAGGGTTTTTATCTAGGACTTTCACCTAGCTAATGCATTTGCCACCAAATTTCATTGTTCCTAGTGCTGCAAAAGAAAAATCCCATCATCTTCTCTTTCTTTTATTATTACCCTGTGTTTTCGTTCAGCCAGCAATAGGTTGGAGACACCAATTCTGAATTTGGATCCGGGGTCCTTGTATATAGGGTTTTGCTTTGAGCCCATCTTGGGCTCTTAAGGATTCTTAAGGATCATCTACTGATGCTGCCTGGTGCTGGGTGGGGTTTGGCCATGGGGAACCAGTCCATATGAGGGTGCTGCTTTGTTGTTAGTAGCAACTCTTAATTCAGGGTGAGATTCCCTGGAAGATAACTATGTGCTTATGACATGTATGTGCACTAGGACTGTGCCTGTCCTGGCTCACACACTTTCTATTGCTGATGGAGGAGATGAGCAGTCAGGCCTTCAGTGAACTCAGTCAGTCAGAGTTGGACTCCTGTATCAGATGCTGAAATCACAGACGGGGAATCCAAGGACTGTGTTCCTCTTGTTATCTAGCCCAATCCAATGGCTCACCTCCCTCTGTTCTTGTTAAATGACAGACCCATATGCAGGGGTGTGTGAATGTATCTCCCCCCTACATTGTCCCCCAAGTAAGCGTGAGGCTGGGGCCAATTCCAGCCAGGATGGGGAAAGCTGGGGCAGCACGCTCCCTGAGCCTCCCTCCCCTGTGCTCTGGCCAGCCAGGGAAGGCTGGAGAAGATCTCCCCTCTCTCCTTGCTTCTCTAGGAGTGAGACCCCAGGAGTGAGGCCAGAGGCAGGACTGGGCTGTGAACTCCTTTATATTTAAAAAAATGGCAGCCCACATTTACAAAAAAGCACACACACCACACCCAGAAATTCCTGCATATGGGCCTGAATGATCTCACAGCTGTAGCTAGAAAGACAGGGTTTGTCTAAACTGCAATTAGACACCTGCAGCTGACCTGTGCCAGCTGATTCAAGCTAAAGGGCTTGGACTAAGGGGCTGTTTAGTTGCGGTGTAGACATTTGGGCTCAGGCTGCATCACAGGATCCTAGACCCTGGGCTGTAGCCTGGTCCTGAACAGCTACCCTGCAGTTCAATAGCCCCATAGCCCCAAAAGCCCAAGTGAGCTGGTCTGGGCAGCAGCGGGTGTCTAATTGCCATGTAGACATAGCCAGAAACAAGTCTACAAAAGCAGGAAAGATTCTACCTCTTTATTTCATTCTCCCAGTCAGAACTCTGGTGGCACTTGGGAGCTGGGCCATCAGAAATAACCTGCCGGCTGCTCGTGGAGTACAGTGAAAGCAGAAATCATGTGGTGATAGAGATTAGACCAGACCTTCCTCCTACCATTTATGAGAAACAAAAATCCTGCTAAGAAGTGACAGCTTTAGCCTGGCTAGGCCCATGGCATTTGGCATACTGGCCATATTGGAGATGTGGGTTAAGGGGAGCTTGGCTTTTGAGGGTAGAATAGAACCAATGTGAGCATGTGGGGATGCAGAATGGCACTGGGATGCTTTGAGCACAGGAATTGCCAGGCTGAATCAGACTCAAGGCCCAGTACCCTGTCTCTGACAGAAGGTAATTCCAGATGCTTCAGAGCAGTAGGCACACGTGGGACAAAATCTGCCCCCCTATGTCAGCTCTCATTCTCATTTCTGACAACTGGAGATTGGCTGAAGCACCCAAAATGAGTAGGGTTGCCAGATGGTTTCACAAAAAATACCAGACCTCCCCCAAAAAAGCGCTGGGAAAATTTTGTTGAGCAAAAAAAAACAAAAAAAAAAAGCATCAGGCCACTGAAATGCAGTTGCAGCCCTTTTAATTGCCGGGCCGCTCCCCTGCTACTCCTCCCACCCCCTCCACATGTCTGTTGGGCAATGAGCCGAGAAAAGTAGAAAATACTGGACATTTTATATGTCCGATATTTTCTCAATTTCTTTACCGGACAAAAGGCGCAAAGATCAGACTGTCCGGTTCAATACCGGACACCTGGCAACCCTAAAAATGAGGCTTTATAGACTCTCCTATTAGCACTGCCTGTGACAACTGAATATTCTTGAGCATGTTGGAGGATAGCTTTAGGCAGACAGCTTCTGTGGAGGGGATCATGCTGTTAAAACCATGTAGGAATGTGGGGGGCATGGTTGTGGGCTGCTAGGAATGGGGCCTAGGAGCACAGTGAGGGTTTGAGAAGACTTGGGGTAATGGCCTTAGAACCCTTGGGAGTGGTGGAGGCCACGGTGTGCGGGAGGTGAAATGGGTGTGGCAGTGATCCACGGCTGCTGTGGTCATGTCAGGGAAAGGTTGGAGTACAGCATGGAAGCTGTTCAGGGTGATGCTGGGGCATAGTATAGGCAAGACTTGAGGTGGTTGGAGCCAGTTGTGGTCACAGCAGGGGTGCAGTGAGAGGGTAGCAGCAGGGAAATGGTTTGGGGAAGGCCCAGGAAGCTGTTTGAGGAGCAATAGTGAAAGATTTGGGGATCTGCATGAGCCCTTTGGCGTGCAGGTTGAGAGTGGATGGGGATTATAGGAACAGGTGGGCTGCTGGGGTTTGGCTCTAATCTCACTTCATGCTGGGGTAGATTGGGATTAACTCCATTGAACTCGCACACGTTTTATACTGGTGTGACTCTAGTGAGTGAGATCTGAGTCAGGCCCTTTAGTTTTATTCTATACAAACTCTGTGCTATAAGAAAGAAATCCCACATAAAGGAGAAGCTCAGCTTTACCATCCCACAAAGATAATCAGCCAAATTCTGGCTCTAGAATTCCCAGGTGGGCTGAGCCAGCCCCATCTCACTGGGGCAGAGAGCACACTGGCTGTCTTGGTGAATTATGGTACCAGGGCTGGACCTCTGACTTTTAACACCAGCAAAGAGGGACACAGATCTTGAAATTCTGCTGTGCAGCTGTATGTCTTTCCTTCCCAGGGTGTTTGTGGGAGCTGCAGAGGGAGTTGCAGTGCCAAGGGAAAGGCAGTGAAAAGAAAGAGAAATGCTGCCTGTTCCATTCTGAGTCCTTAGCCGAATTAGCTGGACAAACATCTTGGGAGGGAGCCGTAATCAGGCAACGTGCAGCTGTCCTTAGGGAACGTTTGCAGCTGATCACACCGCAGCTGGAGTGCTAGAGAGTGAGTGAATGCTGGGCTCGCTTGACACAAATGTGAAGTAGGGTTTTGCTGCAGCTAGAGGGCTGCGCTGATGCACATCTCCAGTGTGTGTCTGGCTATGCTGATGCACATTGCCAGTGCTGTCTCCGGCTGCGCTGAGGAGTGGTCCCCAGTGCTCTACCTGGTGTTGTCTCTGACTGAGGCTTCCAAGCAAAGCAGCTCAAGACTCCATCCTAAAAGGAAGAGGCTGGAGTCATTCCAGGCGAAAGGCTCTTCCTAAGCAACATCATGCACGGATCAGGTTTACTTCAGCTACCTTCTCTCCCACTTAGGGGCTGAGACACTCTTCATCACTCAGGTAAGCAGCATGCCTGGACTTTTCTTAGCCAGGGTACTTTCCTGCTTTGACCACGCAGTAGTAACTGGGGCAGGATTAGCAAATAGTTGTTTCTGGGAGGGAAATGCTGGTAAGGATTTAGCAAAAGATTTTGACCCCATATATTTCAGAGAAATTGCAGAGCAACTTCAGATGGGACTGTAAATCGGAGGTGGCCACAGAGGTAAGGTCACTATGGACTTTCCCTTACAACTCAGCCCTCTGCTAAAGTTTGGGGATTAGTAATTAGACTATTGTGGCAAAGAGAACTAATAGTCAAACCATGCATGATAGATGCTCGTCATGTCGCTCATGGCATCATGGGAAGATGCTTGGAAGATTTAGAAGAAGCTGAATAGAACAGAAGAGGCAATTAGTCAGATTGGTTCATTGTGCCAATATTGAACCTTCTTCTTGTATGCATGTAAACCCCTTTTCAGCGTAGGTTGGCAAGATCCTATCAGCTCTTGAGCAATGTCTGTGGGAAAGGAGCTGTGAGTTTGGAGTTCTGACCAGTCCCTAGCTTGTAATTCATTTTCCTAGGCTGTTGCTGGTTTCATACCCACCCCCACCGTGCTACTCAGCCCCCCTTTACGAAGCTGCTTGCTGAGCTTTCAAAAACTAGATTTTGTCTGAATTAGCATAGCATCTACTACCAGAAACTTCTCCCCCTACCCCCAAGGGACCCGAAGGGAAAGCAAGGATGCTATGTAAATAATACGGATAATTGTAGAGACTGGTGTGAGGCTCTGTCTGAGAGTCTCACCGGAAAAGCCACTGTCTCAAGAGGATAATGGATGGCTACTTCCCAACTTGACAGCAGAAGAGTGTTGATATATTTATCTAGCAAAAGTTTCCAGTGCCATGAAAATAGCTGGCAGATTTACAGAGCGTTTGGAAGCAAAATGCTCCTCATTTTGATTCCCTGCTTCTCCACCAGAGACAGGGAGTAAACAGGCTACAGGAGGGTGAGTAGGTTACTGCAGCTCCAGTTTGGGATCCTCATTCTGTTCAGCACAGTCCCTGCTTTGGACACGGTAGTCCCACAGCCACCTCAGGGCTTTGTCCACCCCTGTCCCCTCCTTATGTTCAAGCTTCAGTGCTCGTTGGGGAGAGGAGCCTCCGAGCCAGGCACTCTGAGACACTGCTATGAATCTCCCTTTCATGCTACCTGCCCCATGCGCCCAGTTTGGTAAAGAGTCAGCATTGTCCAATGGGGGTGCCCTTTGTCAGGCTGGCCCAGCATTCTAGTGTGAAATCACACCCTGCCCAAGAAGGGTTAATCTGTGAGGGTATCAGGCAGCTTCCCCAGGTGAAGGGAAACACTGACTGAATTGTGAGACTGGAATTGCAGAATCTGGAGACAGAGGGGAGCTGCCTTAGCTCACTCTGCCCATCTCCAGGAGCCAGGTCCTTCTGTAGTAGCTGTTCTGTAGCATGTGTCCGATCTAGCGCTGAACATCCAACGGATGGAACTCACACCCGAGGAGATGATCTCCCAGTGCAAGAGAAGTAGCATTGCTGCTCAGTGAAATGTTTCCTCATATTCAGCCAAACCTAACTCACTGTTATATCCAGCTCGTCCCTTCTACATACCCCCTTGTTTGTCACCCAGAACAACCCCTCTTCTGCTTTGCGAAATACACACTTCTGATATTTGCCACCTCCTGTCTTGCTCCTTTAATCTCCTGCCAGGGGCTTTTCCCTTCTGCCCTCTGCCATTTTCATTGCTCTTTCCTGGACTCTGTCAAGCTCCGTCTGCTAACAGCAAGCCTAGAATTCAATGTGGTAACCCAGATATAGTGGCACCAGAGCCACATTCTCATCTCTGCCAGGGGCATTCAACTGTGGAGTATGCATCATCAAACTGCATTGGCCTTTGTTACACACATTGCAAACACCTGTACTATTTGCTGCCCTCTCTCTCCCCTGACCATCATTCCTGATCCCAGCTCTTCCTCCTGTTGAGAGGGGTTTAGGGTTATTATCCCCAGGCATAATAAAAACACTTTCCCAAATGAAGCCTAGAGTACACTACTTTGTTGGTAAAATAATGTCACTGCACAGCACTGAGCAATGTAGTTATATCAACCTTAACCGCCTGTGTAAACAGCAGTAGGTCAATAGAGGAACATCTCCCATTGGTAGAAATACCACCTCTCTGGGAAGTGGATTAATTACAGTGATGG